CTCTGCACCTTCTCCATCGACTCCCACTGATGACTGCTGTCGGTGTGTCCTTGGGCAAGACAATTAACCCCACTTTGCCCAAAGCCCCCACTGAAAGATCAAGGCTATGCTCACACTCAGAGAGCAGCCGTCCTCCTGTGGACTCACCATCTGCAGAGGATCAGTGAGGGGCTGGTGCTATGAGACTTGGGTGGCAATCAGAGATGCCACCCCCCTGACCCAGAAATGGATTAAAGGGTAGAAAATGGATGGATGGATGGATGATATATTGGTAATTATGAGATATTACTAATGCTGGTCCAGTTCATACAGGCCAGGTTCCTTCCCCTCCATTGGTCCCTTCAGTCCTTTGGAACAATAACCACTACGGACATTAAACTGATTATATAGATACAGGTCCTAGCCCAATACTCATATTCATATATGCTGCACTTGCTACTTCCCATTAAAAACCTCAAAGATAAAAAGTATGTTGACACGGACTGCTCTGATTTTATGTGTGGTCTGTGCATGTGTAACTGAGCCTGCATCTGGCACAACATCCAATTAGATCACGTAGATAGTTTTGATTTACCAGCAGCCAACGACATGGAACAAACTGTTAGTCCATGGGTCAGAGACCAACGAGAATGCACCAGCAAAATGATTCCTAACATTATTTTTTTTGCCTACAAAAGTACGTGGAGACCAACAAGAAACAAATCGCAGTCAAAAAGACTCGAGAGGACTCGAAAGTCAAACCGTAGGACTTGGGACTGACTTGAGATTTGTTGGCCTTTGACTTGGACTCGACTCGGGACTTGCCTGTCTTGACTCGTGACTTGACTCGGGACTTGAGGGCAATGAATTGAGACTGACTTGTGACTTGCTAAACAATGACTTTGTCCCACCTCTGCTACAAGTTACTGCGATAAAGATAATTTAAAGTAATTTCACGGGCCACTAAAAATTGTCTTGTGGGCGGGATTTGGCCCACGGGCCTGAGTTTGACATGCCTGTCTTAGATGCTTTTTCAACATAAACGTAGCAGCTGTATTGTATCTTGTGTCTGCTCCCTGTGTCTCTTACTGCTGTTCTGTCTGTGCGTGGCAACACTGGAATTTCTCTTTTCTTAGTGTTACTTACCTACAATTGGAGAGAACGATTGGATATACAAGATACACAGTTGAAGTGTACCTATGATGAAAATTACAGACCTCTGTAATTATTTTAAGTGGGAGAACTTGCACAATCGGTGGCTGACTAAATACTTTTTTGCCCCACTGCATTTGAAGTAGATTGAAATGTATAGATATTTTTAAAAACAGACTTTTGACTGTAAATGATGGTCTTTGTAAAGATTAGCTAAAAGTCAGAGAGAGACCAGAGAGAGACCAGGGAGAGACAGAGAGAGACCAAAGAGACCAGAGAGAGACCAAAGAGAGACCAGTGAGAGAGACCAGAGAGAGGCCAGAGAGAGAGACCAGAGAGAGAGACCAGAGAGAGAGACCAGAGAGAGAGGCCAGAGAGAGAGACCAGAGAGAGAGACCAGAGAGAGAGACCAGAGAGAGAGGCCAGAGAGAGACAATAATTAAATAAATAAATAAAATCTCTCCTTTACGTCCTGCGTTTTCTACTTTTCTTCTGTCTTTTGCTCCAGACACTGAGCAGGTCTGAGGAGGGGGAGGATTAATGGAAGAACCCTCGGACCTTTGTGACCGGAGCAGCTCAGACTGACACCTCACTGATAACCACCACTTTACACAATGAAGAAACTCCACAGAAATATCCCCACACACTGTAAAGTCATCAGTCAGAGAGAGAGAGAGAGAGAAATAGAGAGAGAGAGGAGAGAGAGAGAGATGAGAGAGAGAGAGAGAGAGGAGAGGAGAGAGAGAGAGAGAAGAGAGAGAGGGAGAGAGACTGTAGATCGACGCTGAGTATTTATGTCCACATGGAGCACTTTGGAGAACAAAAGCCACTTATTGCTAGCTTAATCGCTTTTTCAGATTGTTATATGCTCTGGAGAGCAGCTTTAGTGACAGTGACAGACTGATTCACCCTCGCTGTGTGAAGGAGAGGTTCCACAGGTCTTTCCTTCCTCCTGCTGTCAGACTGCACAATGAGAACTGCTGAGTCTGTACAGTATACCTGCCACTCTCCCGTTCTGATAATCCACCAGTCACTTAACCAGTCATTAATTCATTCATTTTCTTTTTAGTCAATGTTTGGGTCGCGGGTTGACAATCAGAGCTGCCTCCCAACAATCTCAGCACCAGTCCCTCGCTGATCCTCCTGAAGGTGGTGGGCATGAAGAGGGCTTCTCCGTCGGTGGTGACACAGCCTTGATGTTTCAGCGCGGGCTTCAGCAAAGTGGGGTCTTGCCGTTTGTGTCTTGCCCAAGGACACAAACGACAGCAGACATCAGTGGGAGTCGATGGAGAAAGTCTTGTGATGGGCTCGGACCCACGACCTCCTACCTCAAAGTCCAACGCTCTACCAACCACTCTTGTTTACTCTCTGTGAATTTTTTAAGTCACTCGTTTAAATGAATGGGGCTGGTGCAGCTGACGCATGCGCAGATGCATTTTTCACATTTTCCAGCCCCCGCGGCCATTTTGAATCACTCCATGAAAGCCCAATTTTTGGCCCATTAGTTAGAACGGCAGAGATAGGTGTGACTACGTTCGTTAATATTTACAGTCTACGGTCTTTCCAGCCCGTCCTACAGCGTGGCATAACTCAACGTTTTGTATTTATATGACAGTTAAAGTATCCAGCCCCTTCTGTGTGAGCTGTTTGTTTTCACACGTGTGTGGCGTGATCCTGGTTTGTAGCGTGTTCCTGGTGTGTGTCGTGTTCCTGGTTTGTGTCGAGGCCTCGCTGCTTCTGTCTCTGAGGGAGTGGGACTGTTTATTCAGCCCCACATTCTGAAACATAAAGAACCACATCTGTCTCCTCTCGTCTCCTTCGCCGACACTCAACATTTACCTTCAGCCTTTTGCACAAGATTCAGGATTAGAGAGAAGCCGCCCGGAGACGCCTGAAGACGTCCGGAGATGCCCGGAGACGCCCGGAGACGCCCGGAGACGCCCGGAGACGTCCGGAGTCCGCAGCAATGATTTTAACTGTGATTTTTGAAAGAAGCCGTGGATTGTAATGAGGGAGGTCCTGATGAGTCCTAATAATACAGTTTAGTAAATCAGCTTTTGAGTCTCTATCTATTTTAAATATAAACTGAAATCTACCTGTTTGAAGCTTCTGTATTGCTACCCTTAACACACCAATACCGCCTTAAACACCAATACCGCCTTAAACAGCTGCAAGTCCTAAATGTCTCTGAAACAGTTGTTTTGTGTTTTACAATTGCTATTTTTCTTGTTTTTTTCTGCCTGAGATGTTGCTGCAGTTCAGTGTTCATGGTTTTACACCGGTCCAGAGCAGAGAGGATTCATGGTTTTACACTGGTCCAGAGCAGAGCAGAGAGGATTCATGGTTTTACACTGGTCCAGACCATAGACTGTAAATATTAACAACTTCCACGGTCAATGGGCAGTTTCAAAATGGCCGCGGGGGCTGGAAAATGTGAAAAATGCAGTTTCAAAATGGCCGCGGGGGCTGGAAAATGTGAAAAATGCATCTGCGCATGCGTCAGCTGCACGAGCCCCATTCATTTAAACGAGTGACTTAAAAAATTCACAGCGAGTAAACTAGACTGGTCCAAAACACCCCCCTCAGCATTGACACACATGTGGAACGGAGCTTTGGGCCAAGAGCCGACTTTTCGAGAGGTCAGCTAATGCTATATGTTAGCATGGGCTATTTCTTATTCCGGGTCCACCCCCACAGGCCCGGGGTGGTATTGCAGCATGTCAGCGCACGTTATTTTGGCCACTTTTGAGCCGGGACCCGCCCCCACCAGACCAGACCAGAGCAGGTTTAAAGTCAAACAAAGAGATTCTTGTAGATGACCCATTTTCAAACCAGTATTAGCGTCCAGATCTGTGGAAATATATGAAATGTAACTAACTTTAATTCATATAATGTCCATAAACTTCTCTGCTCTGAAGGTGCCTCTGGTCAGTGTGAGTGTCTGTTAAGGCGGTATTGGTGTGAGTGTCTGTTAAGGCGGTTTTGGTGTGAGTGTCTGTTAAGGCGGTATTGGTGTGAGTGCCTGTTAAGGCGGTTTTGGTGTGAGTGTCTGTTAAGGCGGTATTGGTGTGAGTGCCTGTTAAGGCGGTATTGGTGTGAGTGCCTGTTAAGGCGGTATAGTGGGTTGTGTTTTGTGGTCTCTGGGTCTGGCTTGTCTCACTCACAGTATTGTCTAAACATGGGCTGGGTCTGTGTTCCACCTTAAACACATGTGAGCTCAAATCTGCAGAAATGTTGAGTAACTAGTTCCTTGAGCAAAAGACAAAATCAGAGAAGAAGCCTGTCTCACATTTTCAGGAAGATTGTTCCAGGTTTTAGCAGCATAAATCTGGCCTCCTGCTGGGACTCTGAGGAGCACAGGGACTGGCCTCCTGCTGGGACTCTGAGGAGCACAGGGACTGGCCTCCTGCTGGGACTCTGAGGAGCACAGGGACTGGCCTCCTGCTGGGACTCTGAGGAGCACAGGGACTGGCCTCCTGCTGGTCCCAGAGTCAGGACTAAACATGTGGAGTCATTGTTTCAGATTGATGTTAAAACCTGGAACAGTCTCTATAACAGTTTATATCGAGTGTCAAACCAACATATTTAAAAACATTTCTTCAGTCCATCTTTGAGTCTGCTACACACGTTTTTAACTTGATGGATTTGAAGCCGGTGTATATTTCTGTAACTCACCGTTCACTGCTGTCCAACAAATCACCAACCATGAAATAAATGTGACAAACTGTGACCGTTCGGAGCGACGTGGGGCCCTCTGCGGTGGGACTGCTCTGGCCGCCGGGGTCGGGTGTAGCGCGTTAGCTTAGCACTAGCGGTTAGCCCCTCCTGCTGGTCCCGGATCCAGTTTCTGTGTAATAGTCTCTGGGTTGATGCCCGAGGACTTGACGTATGTTCATGGACACGACGGTATGTGCCATAAGATCCTTCTGTGGTCAGTCTGTCAGAGCGAGACCGCTCTGCAATCACTCAACTGTGGGGACTACAGGGACTGTCGAGGACTACAGGGACTGTCCGGGACTACAGGGACTGTCCGGGGACTACAGGGACTGTCCGGGGACTACAGGGACTGTCCGGGGACTACAGGGACTGTCAGGGGACTACAGGGACGGGCAGGGGACTACAGGGACTACAGGGACTGGCAGGGGACTACAGGGACGGGCAGGGGACTACAGGTACTGTATATGCATTTTCAGATGTTTGCAATCAACAGGAAAATGATCCAATCCCTGTTTTGAATGAACTCAGACTTAACCCTCGCTTTAGTTTAAAAGGAACATCTTCACACAGTCCAAATCACTTCTGGATATTCACTGTGATTGACGCTCTGTGCTAAAAAACTAATACTACGGACGCTCGTCTGGAAAAGTTATCAACGAGAATAAATCAAATCACAAAAACCCCAAACACCAGACGTCCACTTTTCCATCGAGGAGAGCGAGAAGAAGCCGGAAAGCTCCCACTGTCAGGCTTGTGTTTAGACTTGGTTCTGGTTCCGGTCAGAGCCAAGCTAAAGAAGGGCGGGGGCGGGGGGGTTCTGAGAGGAGCCTGGGGGGTGATAGATGAGTTTTAAGGTCCGTGTTTGTACAGAGCAGAGCTGGAAGTGCAGACACGGCAAAACAAGCCCGAGCTGAAGGCCACAGACTGCAGGAGTCAGAGAGGAGCTGATGTGAAGGAGGACTGCAAAAAACTGTAAAATATGAAGTAATAATGTGTTTTTATCTTAATCCGAGCACATTTTGACTGTTGCCTTACTTTTCTCATCCCAAGGGAGAGATTTCTTGTATCTTTTTAAAATGAGACAATTGTGATTGTCCCATTGGTAAATCTGGTTTTAAGGCTTTAAGGTCAGAATGTGCTCAAAGTATGTGCCAAATTTGAGCAATTTTTTACGTATTTTTCATTGCTTTTTGCAGTGGGGGTGTTTGGTGAAATGTATTGGGAATTATTTCAAGTCAAAATGGCCGCCTTAACTAAAAAAAAACTATTAAAAAACAGGGATTGGTTTCTTGCTTCTCCCACAATTTTTTTTTACTGGGAGTCTTTAACGCTTCCCACTCACCTACCATTTAGAACTGATACATTTTAACTAAAGATGTTCATATATTTCCAAACTATTGTTGATGCGTATGTATGTATCAATGCACAATCAGGACAATCGGATCTGGACAGTTATTCTCTATTGCACATGTTTTCAGTGGTAGGGGAAACCTGGAGCACCCAGAGGAAACCTACGCAGGCACAGCCTTATGTGGACTCCTCCTTCTGTCGTCTTGACTGTTGCTGTGAATCAGGGCCACACACAAACATACAGTATTGGATTGAATTGAAGAGAAAGAGTTTGACCCTTGTGCCTCCCTCGGGTCAAATAGATCCGCCACAGAAAATCAAAAACACCCTAAACATTGATTTCATTTTGAAGTGAATTTTGATGATTCTTCTTAACTTGATCAGCCCTGGGTCATTCAGATTCTTTTAGAGATTATTCAGGGTATTTTTCTACTTTTACTCATCTGTGGAGGGACATTTGGACCTGAGTGTAACACAAAAGGGTTTAAGAACAGACTATGAAAAGAAGGTGAGACAGAAAGAGACAGAAACATATGAAAACATGGTATAAAGTTGTTGCATGTTGTACATTAGCCCCACATCCCCCTCTTGTTACCCTCCTGCTACCCTCATAATGGGAGTGTTTGGGGCAGAGGTTTTGCAGAGGACACACAGGAGGAGGTGGACCACATCTGGATCACACATCAGGCCCCGCTGTCCTCAGGGGCCGGAACTGCGCCTGCAAATGAACCCTGGACTCAGGAGGCCAAAGACCAGGGACCAACCCAGTCCAGGACCAGAGACCAACCCAGTCCTGGACCAGAGACCAACCCACTCCTGGACCAGAGACCAACCCACTCCTGGAGCAAGGACCAACCCAGGCCTGGAGCAGAGACCAACCCAGGCCTGGACCAGAGACCAACCCACTCCTGGACCACGGACCATCCTAGTCCTGGACCAGGGACCAACCCAGTCCTGGACCAGGGACCAACCCACTCCTGGACCAGCGACCAACCCCACTCCTGGAGCAGGGACCAACCCAGGCCTGGAGCAGAGACCAACCCAGTCCTGGACCAGGGACCATCCTAGTCCTGGACCAGGGACCAACCCAGTCCTGGACCCGAGACCAACCCAGTCCTGGAGCAGGGACCAACCCAGGCCTGGACCAGAGACCAACCAAGTCCAGGACCAGAGACCAACCAAGTCCAGGACCAGAGACCAACCAAGTCCAGGACCAGAGACCAACCCAGTCCAGGACCAGAGACCAACCCAGTCCAGGACCAGAGACCAACCCAGGCCTGGACCAGAGACCAACCCAGGCCTGGACGCCAAAAGACAGAGAGCTTCAGTCCTTTTGAGTTTGAACCATAGATTTTTATATCCGGAATCACAGCTTTTGACTCTCGTCTCCATTGTTTATGTGTTTGACCTTGATCTTAAAGCTGACGCCCCTGACTTCCCCACGTGTCCCATCCGAAAGAGTAATATTTTTTTATTTTTTTAACAAATGCGATCTGAATACTACATACTGTCTTGTTCTAGTTGGAAAACATGTTATATTTTGTGTGGTTTTTATCCGAATTTGAGACTGTCTTAAAACCAGATTCTCCAACGGGACAAAACCATTTAGTATTATTTCAAGAATTTTACTATATTTTCTTTTTTCCAAGGGAGACATTTCTGTGTCTTTTTAAAACAAGATCATTTTGCTCTTTGTCCAATTGAAACATTTTGTTTTAAGGCACAGTCAGAATATGTTCAAATTGGAGCAATGTTGACTGACTGTTTTTTGTTTGTTTGACTCTTTGGGCTGAGAGCTGATTGGCTGAGAGCTGATTGGCTGAGAGCTGATTGGCTGAGAGCTGATTGGCTGAGAGCTGATTGGCTGAGAGCTGATATGCCGAGAGCTGATTGGATGAGAGCTGATTGGATGAGAGCTGATTGGCTGAGAGCTGATTGGCTGAGCGCTGATTGGCTCAGAGCTGATTGGCCGAGAGCTGATTGGATGAGAGCTAATTGGCTGAGAGTGGAAAGGCTGAGAGCTGATTGGCTGAGAGCGGAAAGGCTGAGAGCTAATTGGCTGAGAGCTGATTGGCTGAGAGCGGATAGGCTGAGAGCAGATAGGCTGAGAGCTGATTGGCTGAGAGCTGATTGGCTAAGAGCTGATTGGCTGAGAGCTGAGTGAGGGTGGTCGTCTCTTTGTCACTTTTTTGTCTGCATAAGCAGATCTAAGGATGTGACAGGGGCCAAAGAACACATGTGTGTGAAGTCCAGCGGCAGAAACACATCCATCCAAACAAACATAAATAAAAACATGATTCTAAAAGTTACCTACAAAAGATAAAAAGAACAAATCTTTAACTGAGACTCACCGTCGTCAGCGGTGATTATGGAGCGACAGGAGAAACACCGAGCTTTTCATGTGGTGGAAGTTAGAGTCAGATTTAGTTAGAGAGATTTAAAGTTAGATTTAGAGAAAGTAGAATCGTCGGTTAAAGAGGAAAAGTGCCTCCAGGTGTTTTGTGCGTCATCCACGAGAGACATTCACAAACCACAAAGTATTTCTATATAACAAACTGAAACCTATTACAGGTCATTTTGTCTTTTTTAAACCTTTAACCGGATCATTCTTCCATCAAAGCGTCATACTGTGTGGAGTTTGCATGTTCTCCCTGTGTCTGCCTAGGTTTCCTCCAGGTGCTCCGGTTTCTTCTACCACTAAAACATGTGCAACAGAATGTGTGAGAGTGAATGGTTTGTGATCAAATTGATAGTCACCATTTTTAGCACTTATGAAAAGTAAAAACTGTATAAATTACTTACTAAAACTGTTTTTTGGGATTTTTTCTGAATTCCATGAAATCGATTTGAATGGGAGCCATCAAAATGACTACTCTGAGCGTTCTCGTAGTTTCAGAATCCAGGCAGTCCCAGAGTCTTAGACATATCTTTTTTACCAACGCCATCAAGTATTAGTTAAATATTGTCAGTATTGTACCAGTATTTTAAATTTTTTGCATGTAAAACTACAGCAGATATGAGTTGACCAGAACACACGACAAAAACTGATGGAAAATAAGTAAATATTGCTCAAATTTGGCAAAATGTGTTTTAATTTGAGAACAGTCTGACTGCATTAAAACCCAAAGATACAGAAAATGAAGCATTATTGATGAAAACTCTCAATTCAAGAATTTATTTCCTCATATTTTCTCATTTTTCTGAGTGTGAGGTTTGGGTTTGGAGCTGAAAAGGGAGGGAGCGTCTGGAGGTAGTAAACACGTTAAAGATTTGTGTTTGTTCAGAAAGATGTTCTGGAACAAAGGACCCTCAGTTCTGGATGCACCCCTGGGTGTCATCAGGGTGTCATCACTACATCCTCCATGACAAGGGAGAGAGTGGGGGAGAGGGAGAGAGTGGGAGAGGGGGGGAGAAGAAAGAGGAGAGAGGGAGAGAGTGGGGGAGGGAGAGAGGAGAGGGAGGAGAGGAGAGAAAGAGAAGGAAGAGAGAAAGTGGGAGAGAGGAGAGAGGGGAAGTGGGAGGGAGAAGAAAGGAGAGAGAGAGAGAGAGAGAGAGAGTGGGAGAAAAAGGAGTGAGAGAAAAAGAGAGAGAGCGAGAGAGAGAGAAAGAGAGAGAGCGAAAGAGAGATAGATTGAGACGGAGTGAGAGAAATAATTTTAACAGTTACATTCTTCCGTGTCTCTTTGTGTCGGGCCTGGGGCAAATTTATGAACAGTTTTATTGAGCAATAAACTAAAAAGTAAATCTGTGAAAAGTCTGCCGTGTCCGAGATCTGGGAAGACTCATGGAAATTCATTTTTGGGACCGACGCTGGACGAGAAATTGTGTTTTCCTGTATTTATTCGTCCCCGTAGAAGGAAGGGAGACAATGGGAGCGTTTGGGAACACTTCATATCAAGCACATTCAAAAGCATATTTCACAGTGCTCAGTTACGACATAAGTTACTCCCACGTTGGAACATTCCCGGTTTGAGTGTCAACATTGGATATGCGTACAAAATTTTGTATTTCCAATTATATACCACTTTATTTCACTCTTCATATAGAAAGTATTATTGAATATTTGTGGTAATATTTGACTTTTGCTTTAAAATATTTACTTTGGAATTGTATGTTTTTGATTGCGGTAAAATAGGCTCATTTCCACTGAGCAAAAACACTACAATAAACTTGCCGTAGTCAATTTGAGGCTATATGTGTGTGTGTGTGTGTGTGTGTGTGTCAAAGCCAGATCCTGTCAGACTTCTGAAGCTAAGCAGGGCAGTGTGTGGGTAATACTGTGATCGGAGACCACTGGGTTATGACACAGAAATAAAATACATACTGATACAGCAGAAGTCACAATGTTCAGAAGACCAAACATGTACATACTCATTGTACAGAGTAACCTAGGACCCAAAGCTAAAAGCCGTCAAATTGACTGCTGTAGGAGTTTTGGCGAGGTTAATTTGAGTATGTTCACTTTTTGCAGTGTAGCTTAATTCCCATCAGTTGTGTGATTTGTTTTGTGTGTTTTTTTGTCTACTGACTCACGGAGGGAAGAAGCCAGTTAGAGATAGAGAAGAGAAAGTGATAGAATTAGGGCAGAAGGTTGAGAGAGAGAGAGAGACAGAGAGAAAGAGAGAGAGACAGAGAGAAAGAGAGAGAGAGAGAGACAGAGAGAGAGAGAGACAGAGCGAGAGAGAGATCAGAAAGACAGAGACCAGAGAGAGAGAGAGAGAGAGAGAGACAGAAAGAGAGAGAGCGAGACAGATAGAGAGAGAGACGGAGACAGAAAGAGAGAGAGAGAGAGACAGAGGCCGAGAGAGACAGAGAGACAGAGAGAGAGAGAGAGAGAGAGAGAGAGACAGATAGAGAGAAAAAGTCAGAGAGAGAGACAGATCCATCTTCTTTCCTCTGGTCCATTTCCACAGATGCTGATTTCATCTAAATTCAAACATGAATAATAACGGTCTTCTCTCCCACACAGAGCTCAGGTAAAGTGCTTAAGTAAATAATACCACACATACTTTGTTTGCTTTTTACTATTATTATTTTTCTATCAGAGTTTTTCCTCTCCAAAGTCAGAAGTCAGGTCTGCTGGTCCAGGAAACTCCACATTCATCCATATTTGTCTCTTGCTGTGTTTGATTCTTATTTTTAATACTTTCTTGTGTCCTTGCACCGTACATCTCCACAGGTTCAAAGCTAATTTTAAGAACCGTTTAAGACAAAGGGCCTGGGTTAGCTTTAATTCACAAATACAGATATTTTGTCAAACGAATCTACAGCCAGTGCCATACAGAGAAAAGAAAAGAAAATGAAAAGAAAATTACAAATAAAAGAAAAAACATAAAGGTAAATACATTTGCAGAAAATATATAAAAAATAATTATTAAAAAATATAAACAAAAAATAACAATAATAAAATAATGATAATATTACAAAAATAATACATTAAGAAATACAGCAATAAATAATAATGGAAAATAAAGGTAAATAAATAAATAAAGGGGAAAAAATATAATAAAAACAATCAAAAACTGTAAAACTTCTGCTCCACGTTCTGTGACCTGCAACTCCACTTTTCCTCCATGTTTTACAACTTCCTCTTTATCTCAAACTTGTCATTCCTTTTCAGTTTATCTTTGCATTTTCAGTTTTAGTTCCAGGGGTGATCGACGACGACAACAAACTGCCCGAGGCCAGCGCCGCCCAAACTCTGAGTCACATCCCTCTGCTCCAACCGGCTCCACTCGGGACATGAACCCTTCCAACAACATCAACATCGGACAAACTACTTTTACCTTTTTGTCGTTTTCTTGCCTTGAAAAACACCGGCTCTTTCCTGAGATTGATTTCATCCCAGTCTCTGTTTCTTGGCGTTGATCGTTGCCAAACACAAAACTATATCTTTGACGGTTTGTATTTGTGTAGTAGAAGAAGAATGGGTTTGAATGCCCTTGTGTTGCTGTGGCGATAGTGAAGGATGAGGCATTAAACAGATTGGGACAGTAAAACTTAATGAAGACGAATGAAGCTTCAGGTTTTTACTTTCAATGTGTTTTTTTCCCCACTTTTTTACAAAACACTTCCTGATTAAAAAAGTGCAACCAGAGAAACTTTTGATTTGATGTTGTGTAAATGATCAGAGACACACACAGAGGTCGTTAAAGACACTAAGCTCAAACTCATTGAATCCAAGCCCCAATCAATACCATCGAGTTACTCACTCATTACATGCAGACCTATTTTACATGGTTTTAGTGGTAGGGGAAACCGGAGCACCTGGAGGAAACCTACACAGGCACAGGGAGAGCATGCAACCTCCACACAGAAAGGGCCTGGAGGTGGAATCAAACCCAGGACCTTCTTGTGAGACTGCCCATACCTGTGGCTATACCTGCAGGTGAAAGCCAGATCCTGTCAGACCTCTGAAGCTAAGCAGGGCCGTGTGTGGTTAGAACTTTGATGGGAGACCTCTGGGAACAGCAGGTGCCACAGTGGGGCGGCTGCGGATGTAAAGTGCCAAACTGTGGTTGTGTCCTTAGGCAAGACATTTCCCCCACATTCGAATGGGTCTGGTGTGTGTGTGAATGGTTGAGTGGTGATGGGAGGGGCCAATGTCACAGACTACTTGCCCCGCTTCTGTCAGTGTGCCCCAGGGCAGCTGTGGCTACAGTACTAGTTTATAACCACTGTGTTTGAAGTCATTGAGTAATAATGTGAAGTTTTGAGTGTCCAAAAGAGTGCTGTATAAAACCTTGGTCAGGACTAATGGAGCTGGAGGATTTACCCGTTTTTTTAGTGGTAGGGGAAACCGGAGCACCCGGAGGAGACCGACACAGGGAAAACATGCAAACTACAGGCCCTATTCTGATTTGGATTCGAACCTGTGACGTCCACACTGAGAACCGAGGTTGGTATTTGACCACCACCCAGTCTCCCTGCACCATCATAAAACCAAAAAACCATCAAAAAGGTGAAACCATGAGTTCTTCATGAACCAGGTGAGTATTTGGATTGAGCTAAATCTGACTCGTGACTCTACCAGGGGTGTACCAGGGGTGTACCAGGGCAGCATGATGGCGCATCCGTTAACAAGACGATCCTGGGTTTGATTCCACCTCCAGGTCTTTTCTGTGTGGAGTTTGCATGTTCTCCCCGTATCTACATAGGTTTCCTTCAAGTGCTCATGGCTTCCCATCCCTGGTGACTCTGGACTGTGAAAGTTATGAATAAAAATAACTTACTTAAAGAAGCTATACCCGATTTTTAGTAGTTCATAAAAATGCTTATTACTACATACAAGTTGTATTATAAATGATAATTTAATTGAAAACTTGAGGTCATTGATTCAGATGTGTAAGAATACAAGCCGTGAAAAGTGCAGAGCAGAGTCTTTGCAGGCCGTTTGTTCTCTTCCACTCACAGAACGAACAGCGAAGAGCCTGCGTCCTCTAGCCTCTACAACGCTGCTCAACGCTAGGGCTTCGACTTCAAAATTCGAATATAATTCTAAAATTAAAAATATATATATTCGAACAAATATTAGACAACCCTTATAATTCAAAATGTATTCAATGACTGCAAATAAAATAGTTAGCTCCCAAAGGTTTCACTGTGACGTGCTAGGCAGGTAACAGCTAAGCTAGCTAGCTCCCTCCCTGGAATTACATGTTAACGGTTACTTCCGGGTTTTTCGCAAATTCTGAAAACGTCCGTGCATGTGTGTTAATGATGTATACGTATACTGTATTGTCCGATTAACATTTAATAGTGTTGATTAATAGCGAGTGCGTCTGGGGAAGAATGTCTCGGACTCTCGGATTATAAATACAGGAGCCCCACAGGGCTGTGTTCTTTCTCCCCTGCTCTTCTCCCTGTACACCAACCACTGCACCTCCAGCCACGACTCCGTGAAGCTGATCAAGTTCGCGGACGACACCACCCTCATTGGACTCATCTCCAACAACGATGAGTCCGCCTACAGGAGGGAGGTGGACTGGCTGGTGTCCTGGTGCAGTGGTAACAACCTGGAGCTGAACGCCCAGAAGACAGTGGAGATGATTGTGGACTTCAGGAAGAGCACTGTCCCCCCACCCCCACCTTCCGTCATGGACTCCCCCATCACCTCTGTGGAGTCCTTCTGTTTCCTGGGCACCACCATCACCCAGGACCTCAAGTGGGAGCCGACCATCAGCTCCCTCATCAAGAAGGTCCAGCAGAGGATGTACTTCCTGCGGCCGCTCAGGAAAGCCAAGCTGCCTGCACAGATGTTGGTGCAGTTCTACACGGCCATCATCGAGTCCATCCTCACCTCCTCCATCACCGTGTGGTTCGCTGGAGCCACAGTCAGGGACAAACAGAGACTACAGCGCATTGTG